AATTACGTTAATTAGGGTAAAGTTAGGTTAATTAGGCAAGTCATTGAGATAGTCATGAAGATAAAGAAGAATAAAGAAGTTTATTCTGTAGACAATTAAAAACAAACATTGCTTAAGGGGGCTAAAAATAATGAGCTGTAAAGGGTTTTAAAAAATTTAAATCTGCTATTATTCTAGCCAAAATAAAACAAGACTTTCTCCAGAAGAACAAATATTATAGGAAATACTGTGAAAAATGTCTTGCTCTGTTAAACAGTGGCTGTTTCTCAATATGCGTTCTTCAGCGATCTTGCGTTCTCGTGTTCTCATGTAAAGTCATCATCAACTGCCAAAGTTCAGTTCCAAAACTCAAGGCCACAAGAACGGAGGACTCGTGAAAGTTCCCGGATGTGTTACTGATATCGAGGACGCATCGATGCAGACTTAGGCAGAAAACTCACTCGAGAAGTCCCAGAAGTCATTGCAGCTGAAAAAAGGAGGTGGGAAGGGCAGCTTTTTATATAGATTTATTATTAAAGTTCAGAGATATAACTTATTTATCTCAGGAGTTTCCCTAAATGAAACGATGAAGGCAAACATTACCATAAAAATCTTTGAACTGGCGTAAACACATTAAGGGTGTTTATTTGCTAAAATTCGTATTAAAATTATTTTTATTTTTATTGTGGAACATATATTTGTAAAGTTTTTCTGCATAGTATATATTGTCAGAAGGAGAAAAACAATAAATGGTTTTATGAATGCTGTAATGTTTAAATAATTTGTTGTTAAAAAACGGGTGAAGGTCATGTGACCATCAGGAAGAACCAGGGAAGAACGCAGCATCTCATTTCTCAGAGGACATGTTCTCTGTTCTCGCGGTCTTCTTTCAAGGTAACTTCTTCACAAGAACGCAAGTCCGTTCTCTGCGTTCTTGGAATTGAGAAACATCCACAATTTGGAAAATAGTTGAAATTGAAAAAAAAAATCACAGGAGGGCTTATAATTTTGACTTCAACTCTATATAAAAAGTATATCATATTTGCAACATACATGTCAAAATACTGCAAAAATGGCCGCTTTCTTTTTTTCAACCATTGGAATTTCAAATATGTGCAGTCATATACACTCAAAAAATACATTTTTTAACTTGTTCAAACTACTTATTTAAAATGAGCTGAAACAACACAATTCTTAAGAGTTCACTGGGACAACTTAATTTTTTATGTTCAATACACATAAATTAGTTAATCGATTTGTGTTGGGACAAAATGAAGGAATTGTGTGGAGCCCTGCATGTTTTACAGTGTATGAACATATTTACGATTATATTTCCATGTATTAGATTTCTATTTGGGTATACATCTATATTTAGTTTAGCTCCTAAAGTAGAGTAGGCTAGTATTGAAATGTTTAATCAAATGTATCAAATATGATACAAAATATAGTAAAAATAAAATAAGAACAGAATCAAATATGCAATGTTAAAACATTAAAATGCACCATTCTTGTCGTATGCTAATGCATACATCATAAGAAAAATGAATTAATAATGCATTTTTAATTCAACATTGTTTGTCTGGATTTCTTTTTGTGCATTATTGTCAAATAATAAACAAAAATAAATTAAAATATGTTGTAGAACACTTCATAAAAATATTAAAATGGAAGTACGATTTGAGAGCATTGCGTTGTAGGAGAACGTTTGCAGAACTATTATACTATAACGAGTGTACACTACTGCATACTAGTGAAATTAATAGATTTATACTAGTATAAACAGTATACTAGTGTTCAATTTTCGCGGGGAAAAAAGAGCGCGATTTGCAAATATAACGAACATACCTTGAGCAGGTTTTGATTTAAGCTTACATATTATTAATCAAATCAATAGCATATACTTTATTTTATTCTATTATTTATTTTTGTGACAAATATCCGCTATTTTCCACGTGTATGCAGATGTCCTAATCGCATTTTATAACCTAATTAAAATAAAAACATTATATTTCTCCCACTCTCTCTCTCACACACACACACACACACACACACACACACACACACACACACACACACACACACACACACACACCATAGTTATACATTACAATGGTATTTTAAAAATAATATTGAGGCATATTGTTTTTAATAGCCTAAGTAAACTGTATTTCCTAAGAGAAAACTACTGTAAAAAATAACATTGTTTAAAATTTTACCTCAGCTAAAAATCCTCAGCTTATTCACCATGTGGTTCACATTATTATTATTTTAACCAGGTCACTCCATGTTGTTAACCACACAGTTTCATTAGCTTTGCTCAATTTCCCAGCTAACAGGCTGAAACCATTAAACCCAGCACATATTTTGTCCTCTTAATATTCCAGGTCTTTCCATCGTGGACTCGACGGACTCTCACCTGTACACACCAGACGCGTGTTTCACTCACCTCAGGTAAAGATACAGGTATATTCGGTCCTCTAGGAGTATCCAAAATACGACAAAAATGACGCAGGAATGCTTCACAGAGCTTAATAAGAGTCAAACAGTCCCTTAAGGTGAGTTGTAACCTCTCCAGTCGATATTTCAGGCATGGAGTGAACAGTCCAGACATTGGCCAGGTATTAAATCTGCAGGGCACGTTTAAAATGTAGGTTCCACCCCCGTCCGAAATGAGAAGAGCAGGCAGGATTTATTTAGGGGGGGCTGCAGGAGAGAGAACATTAACGCTTTCTTTCACTCACACCGAGCCTACAGAAATTCCTTGCGGTTAGTCCACGACTGATGCTCGAGCTCTTAAAGTGACATTATTTTGTCAGCAGTGCAAACAGAACTGACTTTTATCAGTGTTTGTTAATTTAAGAGATGACAGTTTGTCTATCTGCTGTGCGTGTACTATTAATAGTGTCTGCGTTAGGGTAGCTAGTCGCCAAAAATAAAAGTAATAAATGAATGAAAAATTAAAATGCACCTTATAAGATGAGAAAGTGTGTTTAAGATCATGTAGACTAGCTGATTGTACTTTTAAGTATGATGCAAAAACGAGTAGGGTAATATTATGATTATACATCATATTATTATTTGTTTACAGACCTGGAAAAAAAATCCTTTACTTGAGATTTATTTATTTATTTATTTATTTATTTATTTATTTATTTATTTATTTATTTATTTATTTATTTGAATGTTTGTTTGTGTTTGTTTTGTTATTATTTTGTTTATTGCTATTTTATTTGTTACTATTTTGTTTTATCTTTATTTATTTATGTTATATTTCAGTATTTTGTTTCTTGCTACTTGCTACAATTATTTAATTTTATCTTTATTTATTTATTTATTTATTTATTTATTTATTCATTCAATCATTTATTTATGTTATGTTATGTATTCATATTTTGTTAATTGCTACTTTGTTATTATTTTGATTTATCTTTATTTATGTATTTATTTATTCATTTATTTTATGCATTACTATGTTTATTGCTGCTTTATTTAATATTATTTTGGTTTATCTTTATTTATTTATTTATTTATTTATTTTATGCATTACTATTGTGTTTATTGTTACTTTATAATTTTTAATATTTATTTATTTATATGTTTGTTCATTTTTTGTTTATTATTATTTTGTATATTGCTTTTTTATGTATTACTATTTTGCTTTTTATTTATTTATTTTTCTTCATTTTATGTATTACTATTTTGTGTATTGCTACTTTATCATATTAGTATGTATTTATTTATATGTTTGTTTGTTTGTTCATTTATTTATTTTTTTATTTAATTGTTATTATTTTGTTTACTGCAATTTTATTTATTAATATTTAGTTTTATATTTATTTATTTAATGTTTCACTATTTTGTTAGTGCTATTTTATTTATTATTATTTGTTTATTTCTTTATTTCTTTTATGTATTATTATTTTATTTATTGCAACTTTATTTATATTTTTATATTTGTTAAATTAATTAATTTATTATTATGTTAAATATTTTCTGTTTACATGATTTTTATTGACAACTCAATCTTAATTAATATGCAAAGTGAAAAATAATAAAAAATATTGTTTTTGAAAAAGCATTTTGTTAAATTTTTTTATTAATAGATTAAATATATGTCATGTCAGCTACAAAATGACTTAGAAAAGTGCCATCATAATGTGCTCAAAGTGGGAAATAACATCAGTGCCTCCTTTGACCTTGTGATTTAGTGGAAATGGCTCTAACAAAAACCCCAGCAGACTGAATGAAACAACCCAAGCTTTGGGATTTATTGAAAGTTTCAATTTAATTCAATTCACCGTCTGTCTGCTGGGAAACTGCACTTTTATGTCCGTGGGGTCCTAATAAGAGGAAATTAAAACTGCCAGAAAATTGCAATGTGCAAATAAAAATGGTACATCTACACGAAACATAACTGGGGCAAGATATTATTAATTACATGAATTAAACACAAACAAATACATAAATTCAGCATGAGTGATAATAAACAAGTTATAAAATAAGAAATATGACTGTTTAAAAGTGGTCAAAATCAGATTAATAATTATTATCCTGTCATCATTATATACTTTTCAAGTTAAATGTGGTTAATATCAGAATGCTGAGACTATAGCCATAAAGGACATGCAAAAAGGTTGTAAATGTCTGCACTTTTTGAAGTAATATAAATACTTAAACTGTCACACAGAATCTTTTAAAGTATTTAAATATCCCTGAAGACCCACTTTTTTAGACTTGCCTATTTGTGAGGTGTGTATTTTTGTATTTTTGTCTGTTTTTTATATTTACAATGTTTCTGACTTGTTTTATATTTATATAACCTCTGGATACCTCTGTTTTTCTGCTATCCTTGTATTTTTTAAATGTAAACTGCATTGAGAATAAAGTTATAAATCAGCTCAATATTATTATTATTATTATTATAGTTAAGACCAGAAATGCATTGATTTGAAAGGGCAACTTGCTTAATTTTGGAAAGGATTGCTTTTGATTTACCACCTTTTTGTTTACAATTTAATAAGATGAAAATAAATGTTTTTGTGCATCATAGGGAGGATCAATCATTCTCCTCCTTGCTGAAAGTGACCAGAGACTCAGTGAGGCAATACCTTCAGTTCAGACCTGACCAATCTGTGACCATTTTACATGCCAAAGTTGCCCAGAAGTCCTACGGCAATGAGAAGAGGTAATCAGTTCTGTACGTTTACATTTTCAAAAGTAAGTTATGCATATACGGTACAAATATAAATATAAAACCAACTTCAGGTTACTTCAAAGTTTCGAACAATGCTAATTTCTAACAAGCTGGATTAGGGTTTATTAGGTGGACTAGCTAATGAAAAGGTTTAAACCAAAAGTTTGCTTTGGGAAAAAAATCAGATTATACCAGCTTGGATTATATGATAATTGTAACCCCGGGGAGTGACACATACAACTGAGGTAAGATCCAAATGCAGGTTTATTCGTCGTCAGGCAATGGTCAATAAAGGTACAAACGGGTATGTGAAGGCAGTCCAGAATCGTAATCAGTAACAAATAGTGTGTGCAATCAGTCTCTGACAATCCTCAGGTGGTGTGAATGTAATCAGTCTAGATGAGTAAGCATGTGTGTCTGGGTGAAGTGCATGTATGAATATGTAGTCCAGAAATGGCGGAATTGTAGTCCATGGTTATTGTTGGTAAAATCCAGCGTTCTTATAGAATACGATCGCTGGTAATTGTGACAATAATATAATATTGCGGTAACACTTTAGTTTAAGTTACAATTCAAACCATTATCTACTCGCTTATTAATTTTGGCCTAGTACTCCTGAAAACAAGACAATATTTTTTGCTTGTCGAAAAAAATCTTGATTTAAGAATTTTTAGATTTTTTTACTAAGACAAAAACTCTAAGAAAAGCATTTTTGTAGTGTACCTACATAGTTAAGATAATAGCTGTTTATTAATGCTTATAAAAAAATTATATTATTTTGCCTCCCTAATCCTACCTAGACCCAATTATTAATACCAAAGTCTATAGAATACAGAGTAGATGATTTATACCAGGGATGGGCAAGCTTGATCCTCGAGGGCTGGTGTCCATGCAGAGTTTTGTTCCAACACTAGTCAAACTAATCAGTGTTTTTAAGATCGCTTGAACTCTATAGGGAGGTCTGTTTGAATAGGGTTGGAGCTACACTATGCAGGACACTGACCCTCCAGGATCAAGTTTGCCCACACCTGATTTATACAAAAAGTAAACTTTCATGCAGCTTTCTTCATGTCTAGGTCCAAAATCTCAGTTGAATTCAAGTTTATTTGTATTGCGCTTCTCACAAGAATTATTGTTTATTATCACTAATAAATTTACAGCATAACATTCCTGAGTGTTTTTGTATAGGTTTTTCTGTCCTCCTCCTTGTGTATACCTCTCTGGACATGGATGGAAAGTCAGACAAGAGCAGTTTAAAGGTCGGTGACCCACGAGAAAGCGTCTTCATTCATATTACTGAAACTCCAACACAGGCTTATTGTGGATACTTACCCCTGTCTACATTTCTAGAGAGTGTCTGGCTATTTCTTATATAAAACGAACGCTACGGGACAGTATGACGCCAACGACAGCTTCTGTTCTTTTTCATGCTACCAGCTGACCGCTTACCTTAGTGTGGACAACTTTTCTAGCGTTACAAGTTTACCCAGTGGCTCGCTGCATATGTCTGCATACTTGGGACACGAAGTGGACTTGACCGTGACGACAGGGTTTGAGCACAGTGAAGAACGATTCCCGAAAGTAGATAAAACAAAAGCAATAAATAAATAAACAACAGGCCGAAAATGTGGTGAAATCAAGCGGTATGTATTTCGCTATCTCTAGAAATGTAGACCTGGGTATGTACCTGCAATGAACCTGGGTTGTGTAACTCACACTAGTTTTTTGTGGGGGTTTGCACAGCATCAGGTCTAAATGAATCGGCTTGTCGGATTTTCGGTTACATGGGTCTGGACAGCTCCAATGATCCACGGACAGACAGTTTCAAGCTGAGCTTTGAGGAGCAGACAGACAAGAAGGTGAGATATTAGCAAAGCACAGCGATCAAAGAGCAGACCGTCTGTCAGGTGCATGAGAGAACATGACCACTGTGTGTACATAAAGATTTGGAGATGAATGAGGATTGCATGCAGGTTTATGTAAGGACAGCTGGGAGAACATATACTGTAAGAAAATGGGCCTGATTTGTAGTTCTTTTAGGAAAAAATTTATCATAAGAAAAATCTGTTTAAAGTGGGCCTATTATGCAAAAATCACTTTTATAAGGGGTTAAAACACAGTTGTCTGGCGACAGCCTGCAAAGATAACCAGCTTCTGATGATAAAAATGTATTCATTTTGTTTTTTATAATCACACTTGATAAAAACAGTCTGCAGAAATACTTTGATCGACATTCTTCCTTTGTAAGTGTCATCAGAGGGGGAAAGCCCCACCCATTAGTGACCATCTCTCCCTCATTAGCAGAGGAGTTAGTCTTTTTGAATATGCCACTATGCTGACACATAGGCATTTGTAGCGCTGCCCTCTTTTGAAAAGAGCACAATCTCATTTGAAATTAACACAACAGTTACCAAAACTAAGTGTAAAGAGACCCACATAAAAATACTATAGTCATTTGCTATATAAAAATATTTTTGAACAATACTATAGTAAATTGCAGTATACTCTATACAGTATGGGTGACGCAGTGGCGCAGTAGGTAGTGATAAACTGTAAGAAATACTGTGGTTTACCTACTTTAGTTTTTACTACAGTGAACTCTGGTGTGTTGTAGTTTAATATTCCCTTTAGTTGTAGAAAATGACAGTATTTGGTCATTTGTTTATATTACTTTAGTTGTTACATTTCTATTGCAACTATACAATCATCACAGCAGATTAATTCAGGTTATTTAATATAGTGTGGTTTAAAAACACTTTAGCATTTACTATAAATTACTGAGTATTTTTTGTTTATGTTGGGAGAGCAAGTTTCTCATCTACACTACTTGACAAAAGTCTTGTTGTCGATCACAGTTGTAAGAGCAGCAAATAATAACTTGACTTCTAGTTGATCATTTGGAAAAGTGTCAGAAGGTAGATTTTTTTCTGATGAATCTTCTGTTGAGCTGCATCCCAATCATTACAAACACTGCAGAAGACCTACTGGAACCCACATGGACCCAAGATTCTCAGAGAAATCAGTCAAGATTGGTGAAGGAAAAATCATGGTTTGGGGTTACATTCAGTATTGGGGCGTGCGAGAGATCTGCAGAGTGGATAGCAACATCAACAGCCTGAGGTATCAAGACATTTGTGCTGCTCTTTACATTACAAACCACAGGGGAGGGCAAATTCTTCAGCAGGATAGCGCTCCTTCTCATACTTCAGCCTCCATATCAAAGTTCCTGAAAGCAAAGAAGGTCAAGGTGCTCCAGGATTGGCCAGCCCAGTCACCAGACATGAAAATTATTGAGTATGTCTGAGGTAAGATGAAGGAGGTATTAAAGATGAATGCAAAGAATCTTGATGAACTCTGGGAGTCCTGCAAGAACGCTTTCTTTGCCATTCCAGATGACTTTATTAATAAGATATGTGAGTCATTGCAGAGATGTATGGATGCAGTCCTCCAAGCTCATGGGAGTCATACACAATATTCATTCTGTTTCCACTGCAGCATGACTTTATATTCTATACTGTACATTACTTCTGTTAAGTGACATGACTTTTGTCTAAGCAAAGTCAGAGCTTACTGTCCTAATGAAATAATTCAAAAGCAAGGCATGATCATGTTTTATTTTGGTGAAATAAGTGTAATCTAAAGGCCTTTGCCTTTCATATAAGCCATTTCTGATACCAAGTGATCAACCAGAAGTCAAGTTATTATTTGTTGTTCCTAAAACTTGGATCGTGGACAGGACTTTGTCAGGTAGTGTAGTTATACGCTTCTCAGGTTTATATTTTTAAAATCCAGTCTGTATAATATCACAAATTATGCTCAGATTTTCAAATAAGTAAAGTCTGCCATCAAAATGCTGAAATTCCAATATAAAACAAACTGCTCTTCACATTTATTTGTATTCTTTTATGCAGCATTTTAAACATCTGCATTTGTCAGGTCAGTATATAATTCATAATGATCAAAATCATATGATCATTATCATAATCATAATGCTAGGATGCATTATTTGTTTAAAAGATTCAGTAAAGGCTGTAATAATGATTTAAACGTCTTAAAAATAATACTTCTGTTCAGTAAAGACACCCTGAAGATTAATAAAAAAATAGTTGGCAGTACATTAAAGATATGTATAATGTTACCTTAAACACTTTTACATTAAAATGTTACATTTAATTTCAATTACAATATTAAGCAGAGTTCAACAATAAAACCATTAAATCAGGATACTACAATAACTTCTGACACTGAAAACGGAAGTAATGATGCTGAAAATTTAGTTATATGTCAAATAAATTCAAATACAAAACATTAATTTAAAATTGTAACATTTAGCAAATGCGAAATAAATGCAGCTTTGGTGAAACCTGGTATAGGTCATCTAACTTTTTTTTATTTACTATATATTTTCAGATGTTTGCCTGCGCTAAAACCTTGTACATCTCAGACACAGACAAACGGAAGCACTTCCGCCTGCTGCTACATCTGTTCCACAACGGAGGGCAAGAAATCGGCACGTTCAACAGCAGACTCATTAAAGTCATCTCTAAACCATCGCAGAAGAGACAGTCCATGAAAAACGCCGACCGTAAGTCTGCATTAATGTGCAATTCTGGAGGTCTACATTCCAGTTGACACCAGTGATAAACATTCAGCTCTTTTTTTAAAGGGATATTTCAACCCAAAAAATTTAAATTCTGTCATCATTTACTCTCTACTTGATCCAAAACGTACTTGGAAGAATTTTGGAAACCGGTAGACATTTACTTCTATCATAAGTTTTTCTACTACAGACTTTTTATTTTGATTTGAAAAAATTAAAAAAAAAATTCTATTGTGTTCACTTAAAAATAAACTCATAGAAAAGTAAACTCATTGGCTTAGAACCAATTGAGGGCGAGTAAATGATGAGTTAATTTTCATTTTTGTGACACTTTTTATATGGTTCTTTATAGTACTTTTTATAGTACTTTTTTAGAATTATCTTAAGCTGCTTTGACACAATCTATATTGTGAAAAGCGCTATACAAACAAACATGAATTGAAATGAATTGAATTTTCTATATTTTGTGATTCAGGTTTTTTCCCCAGTTTATTCATGCTTTTGGATTGCATTATAGGACCTTGATCTTTCTTCCAACAACTTTTACCCTTGGAAAGTTTAAAAAGTGACTTTTACTAAAATTGTTAATAGTTTAAAGTGATATATTGTGTTGGTGTTGTATTTTACACTACAAAAACCTTGTAATAAACTGCCAGTACAATTTCTTATTCCTCTATATATTATTTCTTAAACATTATATTATTTCAAACTACTAAAATGTCAATAAAAGTCACTTTGTTAAACTGTAGAGTTGAATTTTCAACATCAAAAGTCGACAGAGCAGAGATCAACATCCCATAATGCAATTCACAACCTTAAATAAACGAAACACACTTATGATATTTCGATTTTTACAGTGTATGACGAATCAATTTAGTTTTCTACATATTTTGGAGGGGATTTTTTTCTCTACATTTATGTTTTATTTACATCAAATCAAATATGTGAACACAAAAGCAGTCATAAGTTGACATTTTTGGAAAATGGCATTCATGCATTATCTGAAAGATAAATAAATTCATTTTCCATTGATGTATACTTTATTATGATAAGACCATTTTTGGTTGAGATGCAACTATTTAAATATCTGGAATTATTTTCCTTTAAATTGGGGACGCAGTGGTGCAGTAGGTAGTGCTGTTGCCTCACAGCAAGAAGGTTGCTGGGTCGCAGGTTCGAGCCTTGGCTCAGTTGGCGTTTCTGTGTATAGTTTGCATGTTCTCTCTGCATTCGCTCCGGTTTCCATGCGGTACAGGTGAATTGGGTAGGCTAAATTGTGTGTGTGTGTGTGTGTGTGTGTGTGTGTGTGTGTGTGTGTGTGTGTTTCCCAGAGATGTATTGCGGCTGGAAGGGCATCCGCTGTGTAATAATGTGCTGGACAAGTTGGCGGTTCATTCTGCTGTGGCAACCCTGGATTAATAAAGGGATTAAACCGACAAGAAAGTGAATGAATGAATTTTCCTTTAAATATTCATTCTTTCATTTTCCTTCGGCTTAGTCCCCATTCATCTGGGGTCACCACAGCGGAATGAACCGCCAACTTATCCAGCATATGTTTTACACAGCGGATGTCCTTCCAGCCACAACCCAGTGCTGGGAAACACCCATACACACTCATTCACACTCATAAACTACTACCAATTTAGTTTATTTAATTCACCTATAGCCAGGATAGGCTCATTCTGAAATTGCAGCCCTATACATTTCTGGAGATCACGACTTATGTTGCCAGGAGTACGTATGGCTGCATTTCATCTATAAACCAACGGGTCTAAATGGGTCAGTCAGTGCTTTCGAAAAACACTATTGGTTTGGTTTAGAGGAGGGTGGGTCAGTCGATCAGTAATTCAGTCAGTCGACAGCAGCCTCTGGTGGGTTTAAGTGAGAACAGCAGGCACAAATGGCACTCGCGAGAGAAATTTAAGATCTTAAAAAGTGTACACAGCAGCTTCTGGTGGATTCACGAAAACAAAAACTGCAACAACAAAAAAACTTCTGGGACGTGTTTGGCGCTCTCCAGAAATGTACGTAGCGATACATTTTCAGAATGAGTCTGGGTTGCCTATAATGCATGTCTTTGGGCTGTGGGGGAAATCAGAGCACTCAAAGGAAACCCACACAAACATATAGAGAACATGTAAACTCCACACAAAAAACGTCAGGCCGATATCAACGTACAACCTAAAAATAACCAAATATCAACATCTGATGATGTTACAGCTTGAGGTTGTGTGGACTTTACCACTATAACGTCTATCAAAAGTACAATCGATCATTTTAAACCACACTCCACAAAATGCAACGCTCCACACAATTTGATCATATTGTCCCAACACAAATTAATTAAGTTAACATAGTTTTACATACAAGTTTTCCCAATAAAATCTCAAGAATTGTGTTGTTTCAGGTCATTTTACATAGGTAGTTTTAACAAGCAGCACAAACAAGTTTTTGAGTGTACAGTGTATTGCCAAGACTGGTTTTGTGGTCCAGGGTCACAAATGACTCTACTCTGACAAAGAGCCATTACATAAACGGGTCAGCCAGTGTAGAAACCATACCCCTGTAAGTTTGTGTTGGTGTGTTTGCATGTCTTTGTATATGATTGGTGTCACCCAGCAGCCATTGCCACAGGAGTCAGACGTTTGACCTTTACCCTTCAGATCCTAAAGCACACACTAAAAGGGCATCTTCTGTTGACATTGACTGCTGGATCCACAGAAAGAAAGAAAGAGGCGCTTGACTTCTGAGAGCCGCAGTCAAGTGACGGTGAATTCCTCACTGTCCCGTGGGAGAGACTGACAATGAGACAAAGTTCTGGAAAAAGCACAGACTTTCAGTAGTAGATCAGTCATTCATGTTTGCCTTCTGCAACACGCATATATAGATGTCAGAGGGAGTTTAAATTATCGTGGTGTTTGTTTTATTTGCCTATAGCTTTGCTTTTTTTAAAACTTTCTAAAAATGTGTGTTTGTTTCTCAGTGTGTATCTCCTCAGGCTCAAAAGTGTCATTGTTTAACCGATTGCGGTCGCAGACGGTCAGTACACGGTACCTCGCGGTGGAAGACGGGGCTTTTGTTGCCAGCGCAAGACAGTGGACTGCTTTTACTGTTAATTTAGGTCTGGATGCAGTGCTTTTCTCTTTTATTTCATTTTATATACACTTTTTATTTCAGTTATGCATACACTTAAATCTTTGACCCTACCAGAAAGATGTCTGGAAACCCATTGTCTCGCAGAGAAATCTGATATATGGTGATATATGAACAATAGCCATTATATTTAAGGATTATAAGATTATAGATACTATATTTGAACACATGTAATTAAATGTAAATCCATTGGTTGAAAATATATATGTAAACGACCATATCTGTTTTGAAATATACACTCACCAGCCACTTTATTAGGTACACCTTTCTAACTGCTTGTTAACGCAAATTCTTAATCAGCCAATCACATGGCAGCAACTCAATGCGTTTAGCCATGTAGACATTGTCAAGACGATCTGCTGCAGTCCAAACCGAGCATCAGAATGAGGAAGAAAGATGATTTAAGTAACTTTGAAAGTCATTGGCGCCGGACGTTCCCAGAGATGGGTTGCGGCTGGAAGGGCATCCGCTGCGTAAAAACTTGCTAGATGAGTTGGCGGTTCATTCCACTGTGGTGACCCCGGATTAATAAAAGCACTAAGCCAACAAGAAAATGAATAAATGAATGAATGGTGCCAGACGGGCTGGTCTGAATATTTCAGGAATTGAAGATCTACTGGGATTTTCACGCAAAACCATCTTTAGGGTTTACAGAGAATGGTCCAAAAAGGAGAAAATATCCAGTAAGTGGCAGTTCTGTGGGCACAAATGCCTTGTTGATGCCAAAGGTCAGAGGAGAATGGCCAGACTGGTTCAAGCTGATAGAAAGGCAACAGTAACTCAAATAACCATTCATTACAACCAAGGTATGCAGAAGAGCATCTGAATGCACAACAGCAGAAGACCACACCAGGAGCCACTCCTGTCAGCTAAGAACAGGAATCTGAGGCTACAGTTTGCACAGGCTCACTAAAATAAAACAATAGAAGATTGGAAAAACATTGCCTGGCCTGATGAGTCTCGATTTCTGCTGCAACATTTGGATGGTAGGGTCAGAATTTGGCGTCAACACCATGAAAGCATGGATCCATCCTGCCTTATATCAACGGTTTAGGCTGGTGGTGGTGGTGTAATGGTGTGGGGGATATTTTCTTGGCACATTTTGGGCCCATTAGTACCAATTTTGCATTAAGCATTCCTTTATGACCAAAGTGTACCCATCTTCTGATGGCTTCTTTCAGCAGAATAACGCGCCAGTGTGAATCATCTTAGACTGGTTTCTTTAACATGACAATGAGTTCACTGTACTCAAATGGCCTACACAGTCACCAGAACATACAACTCCAATAAAGCACCCTTGGGATGTGGTGGAATGGGAGATTCATATGATTGATGTGTAGCCGACAAATCTGCAGCAACTGCTTGATGATATCATGTCAATATAGACCAAAATCTCTGAATATTTCCAGTATCATGTTTAATCTATGCCATTAAGGATTAAGGTAGTTCTGAAGGCAAAATGGGGTCCAACTCGATACTGGTAAGGTACCCAGTAAAGTGGCCGGTGAGTGTATGTTTGTATGCATTTATGACATATACTGTATGTATGTATGTACGTATATATATATATATATATATATATATATATATATATATATATATATATATATATATATATATATATATATATATACATACAGTATATAAATTCCAAACACTAACATTTGTCATATACAGTTGAAGTCAGAACTATTAGCCCCCCTAAATTGTTAGCCCCCTATTTATTTTTTCCCAATTTTTGATTAACAGAGAGATTTTTTCAACACATTTCTAAACATGATAGTTTTAATAACTCATTTCTAATAACTGATTTATTTTATCTTTGCCATGATGACAGTAAATAATATTTGACTAGATATTTTTCAAGACACTTCTATACAGCGTAAAGTGACATTAAAATGCTTAACTCGGTTAATTAGGTTAACTAAGCAGGTTATGGTAATTAGGCAAGTTATTGTATAACGATGGTTTGTTTTGTAGACTATCGATAAATAAATTAGCTTAAAGGGGCTAAAAATTTTGTCGCAATTTTATTTTATTTTTTTATTAAAATATGCTTTTATTCTAGCCAAAACAAAACAAATAAGACTTTCTCCAGAAGAAAAATATTATCAGACATACTGTGAAAATGTCCTTGCTCTGTTAAACATTTGGGAAATTTTTAAAAAAGAAAAAAATTCAAAGGGGGGCTAATAATTTTGACTTTAACTGTCTGTAAGTTGCATATGTTTCTATATATTATATTTCAATATGGGCTTAAACCACTCAATGGTGAAACTTAAACAGTCCAAGTAGAATTAACATAAAACTGTGAATTCTGTTCATTTTATTAGGACTGTTTAGTTTCACCTTGTGAAAGACCTAAGTGGTTTAAGTCAGTGGTTTTTCTCGCAAAGTAAAGTCAACTATTTGGGTCAAGAGTGTACATACAATGTTTACATCTGTGAGACGCATTATGTAGAATAACTATAAGCCAGACTGAATCAGTGGACTTTTTCTTTTGTTTTTGCTATTTTAGCACAAAATGTTGTAAACAATCTGCTGTGGATTATGCAGAATGATTTTGAGAGTAGCTGAAAATTTAACACAAACCCAAGGTCTCTCAAATACAGCAATACATCCACTAACAGACAGAAAATATTACTTTACAAATGATATTGTACATAACTAACCTAAACATTCGCATATTTTTTTGCAATATTTCTGAAAACTGAATAAATACATATTTATTATGCACATTTAAATAAGTAAACAAATAGATTAAACGATGGGCTCAAAACTGGGGAGATTTCTGCAGATTGTTTGTGATTCAGTCTGGGCTTATACTGTAAAAGAATCCTGGTTGCCTTAAATTTTTAAGCTGAATCAAATTAACCTTAGTCCATTTAACTTATATTTTGTTAAAACTGCTTGCAAACCTTACAAAATTAAGTTAGAACATGATTAACTTAGTTAATAATGTACTAAAAACATATGCTGTCATAAATAATTGGGTCCCACTTTATATTAAGTGTCCTTAACTACTATGTACCTGCATCAAAAAATAAATACAACTTACTAAGTACTTACTGTGTTCATAATGTATTTGAGAACACTTGTGGTGCTTTTGAGTTGGGATAGGGGTTGGGTTATGGACAGGTTTGCTGGTATGGGTAGGTTTAAGGGTGGGTTAAGGTGTAAGGGATGGTCAACAGTGTATTTACAAATGTAATTAGAAGTTAATCACATATGTATTTACATACAGGTATTTAATCAAGCAGAATTACACAATATATACATGTATTTACACAAGAAGTACATTGTAACAAACTATTAATTCCTGTGTACATAGTACATAATATTATACATAATAGTTAAGGCCACTTAATATAAAGTGGGACCAATAATTGTTTATTTTTTTAGTGTAGTAATAACTGAATGCAAATTATTTATTTATATGCAGAGAATAGATTAAAAAAGGACATACACCACATATGTAACATTTTATAATAGGCTTTCTCTATGCTAGGCTTTTCTACACCACCCTTATGACATGGGAAACATTTTACAGAAGTATCCATTAATCCATAAGCATATGCACAGATCCATTACTGTATATTGTAGTGACAAATTAACCGTTCGCCACAGTAGCTAAATAAACCCAGACAAATCTACAAACGGCTAGCTCAATTGGTCATAATCCATGCAGAACGTCCAGCGTAAATAAGCTCTCACAAATGCCTCGCTGCATTTGAGCGTAAGATCAGTTTTCCAGTACACTCAAGTTGACATTTCTCAAAAAAAAGAGAGATAAAAAATATAAACACTCAATTGTAAATGTCAGCAACATGTGTTGAGCAGCTGGTATAAATGCAGCATAAGTGCATTTAACCCCTGTACAGAACCCAAGGCCCAGTCCTGGTCTGAGTGGGGTCTGTTTTTCTTTCTCGCCCCCTACAGCGCTTTACCATAATACTCAATCTGTTTCTTCGCAGTGGAGGAGACGCAGGCCGTGCACAGTGAATACACAATGTGTGAGAGCTACATCTGCTACGGCTGTGTGGTTCAGCTGGTCTGCACTGACTCCGGAGTGGCACTGCCACCAATGGTATGCAAATATCGAATGTTTTTGTTTCTCATGCTTGTTTTGCATACTGAGATCTGCATCCCAATTTGCATACTAAATCATCCTAAATAGTATTTGAAAATAGAATGAGTATTCAATTCAATTCATCTTTATTTCTATAGCACTTTTACTATATAGATTGTGTCAAAGCAGCTTCACATAGAAGAATTTAGTATCAGTTCAGTTTTTAGGGTTTAAGTTTAGTTCAGTTCAGTGTGGTTTAATATTCACTGCTGAGAGTCCAAACACTGAAGAGCAAATCCATCGATGTGCAGCTCTACAAGTCCCGAGCCTTGCAAGCCAGTGGCAACAGCGGCGAGGAAATTCCTTCACTGATTGGTGAAAGTGAAGGATAAAAAACTTTGAGAGAAACCAGGCTCATTTGGGCACAACCATTTCTCAAATGGCCAAATGTCTTGTGCAGAGCTGCAGTCTAAGCACCAGAGGCTGGAGAACGCTGGACGTCAGCGAAGACTCGTCTGTCCCTGGAGTTTCATACATACTCTTCTGTTACACACTTAAAGGTTCAGGACACCCTGGAGAACTTTTTCTTATATATTAACAGATTTGTGTGTGTTGAGCATCAGTTAAGACAATGTTAGCACCTGTCAGCTTTAATTGTGGGGAAAACTGGATAATTTTGAGCTTTTGTCTGCTAATTTCAGCTTCCGGGTTTAAAATGATTTTTGGGGAGGGATCAAAATCAGCGACGTAGCGCAGATATGCAAGTGCAATGATGACGCGTCGGTTTCTCATTATTCAAGGTGGAGTTTCCTTATCCTATGAGAAGAGCCTGCTGCTTAATTATTCATGAGAGCATGACAGCACGCGCTTTCCGAAGGCAAGGCAGACGCAGACCTGCCAGACCAGTGCCATGCTCAAGCTGTGAGACACGGACCCACGGGCACGCAGTAGCCGTTTAGGCTCCTATGTGTTTGTTTCCATGATCCACGGGGTTTGTTGCATGTTTTCCCAGCGATCCTGTCAGGGCCGATCATACAGCAAAGCTGTGTGTGTGATGCAAGCATTTTTGTCAGGAGAGCAGTACGAGAATTGGAGAATGGCGGATTTTGTCTTGTATCAGGAGTTCATTCACATTCAGACACATAGCCGTGCTGCTGTGTTCGCCTAAATCCTCCAGATTACCAGCAGGACTAATGGTTAAAATAGACAGGTCAGGAGACCTGCTGCACTGAGTCTGCATTTAGATCTATGATTTAGACCCGGGGATTGAGGGTATATGAAATTACGAATAACAAATGTAGCAGGGCATTAAATTACTGTTCATTTCTTTGCATTTTAACTTTGTAAACTATAAACTCATGCGTCTCCTCACGGTTTGTCTCAATTTGTGAGTTAACTGACATCAACAGTTGTTTGCTTCCCTTCTCTCCTGCTGGCCACGCCCACTCCTGCCCTATGCTCGCGCCCATTAATCATGCATCTTTTGAAAAAATTCTGAAGTAGACTTTAACCGAAAGTGGGGGGTGTCATGGCCCTTTAAAGTATAAGAATATTAAAATTTTGAATAGGTATGCAGCAACAGTGTTTAAAATGTGTGATTTCTGTGACATCAGCAAAAACACTCAGAGCCGAGCAATCACTTCAAACACCCTAGCAACCACTCTCAAAACCAATGCAACCAAAGTGCAACTTAGAAACAGCTAAGTAGCCATATAGAACGACACTAGCAACAGAAATGCAAACTAACAACCACTTAAAACACCTTAGCAACAGCCTAGCAACTGGGTTGTCATGGTACTGAAATTCATTCGATACTGAAATTTTAAAAACATCCATTTCCTGCAAACATTTGAGCGCTGTTGAGCACGTTCTTTAACAGTGCTGATTTGCTATTGTGTTCACATGCTCAACAGAAATGACTGTGATTGGTCATGGCCTGTGAAGGTCATAAGTTCACCGAACTCACTGATGTTTTCTGTGTGTAACCACAGATATAAGGACATTGGAGCATTTTAAAGACGCTATTCATCAGTGGATCGCTTGTATGTCAGCTTATAGACAAACCAGCTTACCGACGTGACTTTAAAACGCTCAAGTGTCCCTGTATCTGTAGTTGCACTCAAAAACAGTGCTGAGTTCGCTGAACTGATGTTTAAGAACATGCTCAACAGAGCCCAAATGTTAGCGGGAAATGGACGTTTTTAAAATTTCAATATCAATTGGTACCGAATTCCAGGATCGAGACAACCCTACTAGCAATTACTCACAACACTGTAACAACCAACCAAAGGAACCACCTATAACTACTTTGAACACACTACCAACCAAAATACACCCTAACAGTCTAGAAACCAGTTACAACCCTCCAGTAACCGTAGTACAACCTAGCAACCACATTTTGAGTTTAGTCTCTTCGTTTGTGGGTTAAATTCACTTCACACTAGATGCAGATTCGCGTCGTGGGCGGGGCTTCTGTCTCTAGCTTTTTTGCTCAATGGCTAACATGGATTTTATTGAGAGAATAGCTGTGTTTATGTGCTTTAGGAAGGCTGAAAAACAGCGTATATTAGATCGGCACCGTGTCCGAGTCCTCTAGACCCATTCAGAGGTGCACACAGCTCTGTGAGTTCATCAACTCCTCCAGAAACTGTGCCTGGACGATAGAGGCTTTCAGCGGTGCTTCAGACTGATTCAAGCTTGATGATGAGCTGTTGTCCAGTGTTGGCAAGAGGATTTCCTCTCACGACACCAACAACAGGCACTACATTATAATCACGCCCCTACAAAAGCAAGCTCCTGATTGGTTAACGCAGCACAAATGTCCACTAAGGTTTAGATTTTCCAACTCGAGTGATTCACGCGAAACGTGCGATACACGTGTTAAGCGCATCAAATTCATTCACAAAATGTCTGTTCGCAGCTACTTAACATGTAAATCACTCACGCTTGACGCTTCCCCTGTGTCTGGTGTGAACGCAGCATTACAACACCTCTGAAAAAAATAGCAACAGTCTAGAAAGCACAAGTACAACAACATTCTGTTATCATTTACTCAGCTTTTATTTGTTCTAAACTGTAATGAAATGAAGATATTTTGAAGAAAGCTGGAAACCCGTAACCATTGACTTCCACAGTATTTGTTTTTCCTACTATGTAAGTCAGTGGTTACAGGTTTCCAGCATTCTTTAAAATATCTTCATTTGTGTTCAACAGAAGAAAGAAACTCATAAAGATTGGGAAACTTGAGAGTTAGTAAATAGTGAGAATTTTTTGGGGTGAATTTTTTGGGGTGAACTATGCCTTTAAGCTGGAGTATGCACATACTGTGATGTTTTTAAATGGGTTGCTTTATGTGCCAATGTTTAGTTATTTCATGCAGAAACGTGTAAAACAAATGAGTGTTTATATTTCAGCTATTTTTTTCTTCCATGCCTCTAAAGTCGATTCCATACAAATTTCCATCCCTGTGGTGTTTTTTGGAAGCCGGTCTGCTACCAGCCTGCGTCACAATTTGCTGATAAAGCACGTGATCAAAATGCCAAGGACGACGTATAATACCACATTTAGCAGACAAGCAAACAGAACAAACCGTCAGTGTGTTGTTTTAGTTGTTGAAAGTGCTGACTGCTTTATTTTGGTTTGCAAGCATGGATTTGAAGCCGTCATGCAGCAGGACGTTTGCTCGTGTGCTGGAGGAGAATGAACAGTCAGGCATATTGTGCTGCACAGGTGCTGCAAGGGGGGGCGGCCGCATGAGGCCAGGTGCAGTGGGGCATGAGACAAGGATGATCGCTCTATTTTTAAGTCTGCTTATCACTGCAGAACAAGAGTTTCTTACTTAGAGTTTTGTATTATTTCTAGTCCAAATATCTAACAATTCTTAAATCAAGAAGCGTTTTAATTATAAGGAAAAATATTGTCTTGTTTTCACAAATAATATGTCAAAATTAAGTGAGTTTTTCCTTTAAACAAGTAACAATGAAGTAAGCATATTAGTCTTGTTTTCGCTTTGTTTTTTATGGAATAAAGGGGTGCTTTAAGAAATTGTATTATTAAGAATACAAACAACAACAAATATTTAATATGATGCTGCTACTTAACAAACATTTCTTAGTATGTACACTACCTGACATAATAACAACTCCTAGTTGATCATTGGAAAAGTGACAGAAGGTCATTTTTCAGATGAATCTTCTGTTGAACTGCATCCCAATCATAACAAATACTGCAGAAGACCTATTGGGACCCGTGTGCACCCAAGATTCTCACAGAAATCAGTCAAGTTTTTTAGTACGTTCAGTATGGGGGCTTGCAAGAGATCTGCAGTGTGGATGCCAACATTAACAGCCTGAGGTATCTGCGCTGCCCATTACAATACAAACCACAGGAGAGGGCAAATTCTTCAGCAGGATAGCACTCCTTCTCATACTTCAGCCTCCACATCAAAGTTCCTGAAAGCAAAGTACGTCAAGATGCTTCAGGACTGGACAGCCCAGTCACCAGAAATGAACATTATTAAGCATGTCTGGAGTAAGATGAAGGAGGAGGCATTAAAGATGAATCTAAAGAATCTTGATGAACTCTGGGAGACTTTATTAATAAGTTTTTAGAGTCATTGCAGAGATGTATGGATGCAGTCCTCCAAGCTCCATGGAGTCATACACTATATTCATTCTGTTTCCACTGCAGCATGACTTATACTGTACATTATTTTTGTTAAGTGACACGCACTTTTGTCTAAGCAAAGCCAGACTTTACTGTTCTTAAATAATGAAAAATCAAGACATGATCATGTTTTATATTGGTGAAATAAGCATAATCTTGCCTTTCAAATAAGCCACTTCTGATACCAAATGATCAACTAAAAGTCAATACATTATTTGTTGTTCCTAAAACTTGGAAAGGCAACAAGATTTTGTCAGGTAGTGTATATAAGCCAGGGGTGTGGCGCAGTAGGTAGTGCTGTCGCCTCACAGCAAGAAGGTCGCTGGTTCGAACCTCGGCTCAGTTGGCGTTTCTGTGTGAAGTTTGCATGTTCTGCCTTTGCGTGGGTTTCCTCCGGGTGCTCCGGTTTCCCCCACAGTCCAAAGACATGCGGTACAGGTGAGTTGGGTAGGCTAAATTGTCCGTAGTTTATGTGTGTTTGTGGATGCTTTCCAGATATGTGTTGCGGCTGGAAAAGCATCCGCTGTGTAAAAACTTGCTGGATAAGTTTGTGGTTCATTCCGCTGTGGCGACCCCGTATTAATAAAGGGCCTTAGCTGACAAGAAAATGAATGTATATAAGCCATAATTTATTTTTTATTTCTATGGAGAAATTTTATAATTTAAAAAATCTAAATAAACTCTTTTTTTGAAATTTATGTGCCCTGCATTGTAAACAAAAAACAAAACAAAAAAAACTTATGAAGACATAAGCTTTTTATGTTAACTTATTTTAAAAAGCCAATCAGGTCCCAGCTTTATTTTAAAGTTATGCAAATTTTAAGTTGATGTTTTAAGTTTGTATGTTTGATGTAAGTTGAAATAACTGAAACATTACTGAAATTGATTTAATTAAAAAAGTGTAAGGCAGGAACACATTTTTGTGCTAACCAAAATAACAGGATTTTATTATTTGATGATGAGCCTGGAATTAACCGTCCAATCAAATGAGACCCAACAATAGCAAAACCCAACCATAACAAACCAATCAATTCACAACCTGCAAAATAAAGGATATCATTAAAAAACACATTACCAAGAAGAAAGTTGCCAATGTTTCCTGATTCTAATACAAACCTACAGCATTCAGTGTGAAAATGGCCAAAATTCAACAACATTTTTTTTTTAAAACACATTACATTCCCTAGTGTAAATTCCATTGCCTACCTGTGAGTCAGCTTAACGCATGTTAATACCTGATGTAAACAGGGCCTGTGTCATATTAGGGAAGAAAATATATTGCAACTTTAAATTCATGTTTTCTCTAATAAGGATGTTAAAGTGTCAAAACAATTTTCAGCAATAATTTCTCACTTCTTTTCTTGTAGGTAATTCGTAAAGTGAACAAGCAGCAGGCATGTCTAGACGTGGATGAACCTGTTTCTCAGCTTCATAAATGTGCTTTCCAGTTCCGAGGCAGCGACCACATGTACCTGTGCCTGTCTAATGAAAAAATCATACAGTTCCAGGTGACTTTTAGATTTCAACTTTGACTTTCTATGGCTCTGGTTTGGGTAACATGGTGGCTCAGTGGTTAGCAATGTTGCCTCACAGTAAGAAGGTTGCTGGTTCGAGTACCGGCTGGGCCGATTTAAATTTTTATGTTGAGTTTGCATGTTCTCCTCGTGTTGGCATGGGCCATAGTGTTTGTGTGTGAATGGTATGTGTATGGATGTTTCTCAGTACTGGATTGCACCTGGAAGGGCATCCGCTGTGTAAAACTTTTTCTGGATAAGTTGGCGGTTCATTCCGCTGTGGTGAACCCCTGATGAATAAAGGACTAAGTTAAAGGAAAATGAATGGCTCTGTTTTACCTCACAGTCCAAAGACGTGCTGTTTAAGTGAACTACGTAAACTAAATTGGCCGTAGCGTATGAGTGTGTGTGGAGGTGAGTGTATGTGGGTGTTTCCCATCACTGAGGGTTCATGAGTGAGGTCCTGTCCACACGGACAGAGGTATTTTAAAAACTGTACTTTTTTCTATGCCGTTTCTCTGTTTGTCGACACAAAAACGCAGTGTCAGGTGTCTGAAACCGATACTTTATGAAAACTCTGGCTAGGGGGAAGATTTAAAACTTCAGCTACAGTGTGGTCGTGTGGACATTATAACCAGAGTTTTTGCCTCCTGACGTCAGTGTGTCTGCTGTTTTCTCCTTTCTGATTGGCCAACACGCTTGGGTTCGGACCAAACATGGACGTTTTTGCATCAAAATTACACACATTCGCAATAAGTGTGGTTTATTCATACTCATTTCGAGAGGATCACATGCTTATGATCAACACAGCTGGCTCCTCATTAGCTCCGTAATCTACCCTATTAGATGATTACGGAAGCATTATAAATAACCAGAGTTTTTCACTCCAGTTATCTTCGTCTGGAAGCTTGAAGCTTGAGGTTCCCCGGTTTCCTCCCACCGTCCAAAAACATAAACCATAGCAATCGACTAAACCAAGTTATCACCTAAGACAACCTTAGTTTACACTTCTCACACGGCGACAAGCAGCGTAGTTCTCGAGACCTACCTGAGCTCCATCTCTCCTCTCGCCCTTCTAAGGGAGGGAGCCCCGGGCTCGAGGATATTACGAGCTCAGGGCTCTCTCCCGGGACAGCATGCCAAATGCGCTCTATTGAATATCAGCTAAGTGTGATCTCTTGAAATGCGAATGTGCATAATTATTCAGAGGTGATTGTCTTCAGCCTTACTGATAATGTTCAGGCCACTTGCCTAGATCTGGGCTGCTTATCTGCCTTCAAATCCCCCTGTGTCCACAATCTGGGTGTCATCCTAGATGCCTCACTGAAACTAGACAAACGGATCAGTTCAGTTATTGGCTCCAGTTTTTATCAACTCCGTTTGCTGTCTAAAGTCAAACATTTCTTAAATCCCACCACTCTAGAGATGACTGTCCACGCTTTTATTACATCACGGTTAGATTACTGCAATGCACTTTAACTGTGGCATTTCCACTGCTACATTTTTTCAGACATTTCTCTTGTCTTATTTCTATTTTTTTACATTTCTGGCTTTTTATTTTTACGTTGTCTTTTGTACAGCACTTTGGTCAGTCTTTTTTTGTCAATGTTTTTTAATGCGCTCTATAAATAAATTGAACTTGAACTTGAAATGCATTGCATATTTTGTGTTGTTCGCCCCCGGGGGACGATAATCTGCCTCTTTTCTCACATATGCATTGGCTTGTATGCAATTTACTCATGCAAATTCCTTGCAAAGTGGAATTTTAATTACCTGTTTTGTGTAAACCTCGATTAAAATTTAACCTTGTTGGTTCGGCGTGTGCAGTTTTGCATTTTCATATGGACGGAGACTTTTAAAAAATGAAAGCAGGGAAAAACTCTGTTTGGAAAAATACCCATTTACATGTGGACATGGCCTTAATATAGTCTCAATGCTGAAAGGATGTCTGCTGCAAAAAAATATATGCAAGAGTAATTGGTGATTCATTCTGCTATGGCAAACCTTGATAAATAAGGGATTAAGCTGAAGGAAAGTGTGAGTGAGTGATATGAAAATTGTGTCAACGTTTATTCATCCTCATGTCAACCCTGCAGGCCTCTCCATGCCCTAAAGAGAGTAATAAGGTGTCATTGAATGATGGATCCTGCTGGACGATTATTGGAACAGAGGTGGTTGAATACAGCTTCAGTGAGAGTCTCACCGGTCATCCTGCAACCATCAGCCCTGTGCCTGTTATCAGCGGACTGGAGGTCAGACATCAATGCTTTTTTTGTAGATTTAAAGGGATAGTTCATCCAAAAATACAATTTCCTCACCATTTCCTCACACAAGTGATTGTAAATGTTTATAAGTTTCTTTTCTTATGTCAAATACAAAACAAGATATCCTAAAGAATGCTGGAAAAAAAGCTGTCAATGGCAGTTTTTTGTTTCTTCTTCAGTATACAGTATAAATATGTAGGGTTCCACTCAATTCATTCATGTTGTCCCTACACAAATTGATTAAGTTAACTTAAACAATTTTAAGTGGATTAAACATAAATCATTTAAGTTGACCCCAAAAAAGCAAAAGCAAAGAATTGTGTTATTTCAGCTCATTTTAAATAATTAGTGTTGAACAAGCAGCAAAAAGTGCACTCAAAAAATTTGCTTCAAAGTGTTGACTGCTATATACAAACTCCCTTTGTCGGTACTTGATTCTGTGGTTATCAGCAACACTGAATTTACTGAAGGAATTAATTAATGAATTACTGAATTAATTAATTTATTTATTTAAATTTACTTATTAATTCACTCAATTATTCATTCATTAATTCATTTATGTATTCATTTATTATTTATTATTTATTTATTTAGTTAATTATTATTTCTTTTTTTATTTGTTTGTTTGTTTGTTTGTTTATTCATTCGTTTATTTATTTATTCATTTATTATTTTAAGCTATTTTATATTTTATTTATATATTCATATATTTATTTATTTATTTATTTATTGGTTTGCTTATTTATTTATTAATTTATTTATTTATTCTTTTATTCATTCATTTATTTGTTTATTTATTTATTATTTATTCATTTTAAGTATTTTGTATTTTAATTATTTTGTATTTTATTTATTTATTTATTTGTTTGTTTATTTATTTGTTTATTTAAAGTATTTTGTATTTTAATTATTTATTTATTTATTTATTTTTTATTTGTTTATTATTTATTCATTTAAAGTATTTTGTATTTTATTTATGTATTCATTCATTTATTAGTATTTTATCTTTAATTTATTTATTCTTGCTGGTCTATTTTTCTGTTTATGTTGTATTGTCCTGTGATTATTCTATGTGCTTTAAAATTTAAAACTACAGTAAATATAATATTTTTAAAAGGTGCACTTTAGACCCACTTATCTAAATGAAAAGATTTAAACAAAATTTTGAAATTAAAATAGCTTAATAATAATAATAATAATAATAATAATAATAATGATACATTTTATTTATGATACACTCTTCTGAAACCTGGCCACCCCGGATTAATAGAGAGACTAAGCCGAAAAAAAAAAATGAATGAATGAATGTATAAATGAGCTGTATTTAAACATGTTAAATATTTTATTTAGCTGAATGGAGGTGGACATGTGGCCATGCTGGAGCTTCACGGAGAAAACTTCAGTCCACACTTAAGGGTCTGGTTCGGCAACATGGAAGCTGAGACCATGTTCAGGTTAGCATTTATTTATTAATAACTGAATTATATGCCCTTATTTTTTGTGAAGGGTTTTTGGAGATACTCTTAAATAATCAGTAGCTTGTAGTTTGAAAAGCTCCCAGCAAGTATAGTCATCTTGGCTTAAACAAGGCTAAATTTTTATCCTGTCAGTGAAAATCTAATAGATGAATAAGCCAAAACTAGACTAGAATAGGCCAAAACTAGACTAGTCATTAAATAAATAGAAATGAATAAAGTCTGTCTAATTTGTCTAGTTGACGACTAGTCTAGTTTTGGGCTTTTCTTAGATGTTTCTTAGATGTTCACTGATAGCCCAAGTTTAGCCGTGTTTTAGCCAAGCTGTCTACATTTAGATGTCTATTAGATGTCTATTATACGCAAAATTGTTTGTTGGACAGTAATAAATCTGAAAACACCCAAATGTCTAACTAATTTGAAAATGATTAAGTAATAAATAAAATGGTTGTAAGACAAAAAAAAAGAGTCATCTGAAAACGAAAGCATAAAAATATCATTACTTATATCTTTTTTCCCTATTAAAAAATATTGGTAATCATGCTTTTAAAAACTGATTTACAGAAGATACTAACTAAAATGTCATTAAATAAACAATTGTTTGAATATTAATAGTATTAAAACATCATATCATCAGGCATCATTTAATGAAATTTAAACATGTATCATACTAACATTTATATTAAAGACAATCATGTTAAATCATAAAAAAAGATTTATATCATTTAAAATCTTTACAATTTTCTACTAAATGGGATATATTGCCTTTAAAACTTATTTGGTTTATTTAATTTAGTCATTCTGCAGCATCAAAAAGCTTATAAATGAATTATTTTATTTTTTAAAAATCTACACGGTTAAACATCTAAACTGCCGTCACACAGTTTAGTAGACAGCGTAATTTTGTTACACTGTTCAAACATTACTGATATAAACAGGAAAACTTATTAACACAATCTGAGTTGAATACGATATGGTTTGTGAATGTGGGTTTAAAAGCTTCTCTCTTTATTTATGACTTCCTCTTCCTGTAAACCACAGGAGGTCCTGGTCAGCACATGATTAGAGAATGAAATGTACCGTAGTAAAGCACAGATCTCCTCATCAGTGGTGTAAAGTAACTTATTTCAAATACTCAGATTACTTACAGATTATTATTAATGTACTAAGTAGGTTTAAAACTATGTACTTTTACTTTCCCTTGAGTACGTTGTTAGTGCTGTATCTGTACTTTTACTCCACTACTTTCCTTCAACCTGCAGTCATTACTTTATTTTTTCTTGTCTATGTGGATAAACAAAATCAGTCCTGTGATTCTTGCCCAATCAAATTACACATAGAAGATAAATCACATCATAATGAACTACCTCAAGACATGGGTGATTTATAATTGCAGCAAACTGTTTGGAAGCCTTAAAAGTGTCCAGTAATAATAATAATAATAATAATAATGATAATTCCTTACATTTATATAATGCTTTTCTGGACACTCAAAGCGCTTTACACATAGGGGGGAATCTCCTCATTCACCACCAGTGTGCAGCATCCACCTGGACAGCAGCCATTTTGCGCCAGACCGCACACCAAACACACACTAATTGGTGAAGAGGAGACAGAGTGATGAAGAAAATTATGATATGGGGAGGGTTAGGAGGCCATGATGGACAGAGGCCAGTGGGCAGATTTGGCCAGGATGTCGGGGTGAAACCCCTACTCTTTTTCAAAAGACACTGGGATTTTTAATGACCACAGAGAGTCAGGACCTCGGTTTAACGTCTGATCCGAAAGACAGCGGTCACTGAGCAGTATAGAGTCCCTGTCACTATACTGGGGCGTTAGGACCCACAAAGACCGCAGGTTTGGTGCCCCCTGCTGGCCTCACTAACACCACTTCCGGCATCAACCTAGCTTTCCCATATGGTCTCCTATCCAGGTACTGACCAGGCCCCTGCTTAGCTTCAGTGGGCGACCATGTGAGAGTTGCAGAGAGCTAGCTGCCGGCTATAAGAAGATGTTCAAAATCTTTACACCAGGGGTCAACAATCTCGGTCTTGGAGGGCCGGTATCCCTGTAGGGTTTAGCTCCAACTTGCCTCAACACACCTGCCTGGATGTTTCAAGTTTACCTACAAATACCTTGATTGGCTTGTTTATGCGTGTTTGATTAGGGTTAGAGCTAAAATCTGCAGGACATCGGCTCTCCAGGAACAAGTTTGGTGACCCCTGCTTTACACGCATTGACCCAGAGACTGTATAATGTAGATGCACGTCACTGATAAGAAGACTGCTGTATGATGACCAAAATGGCCTTAAACACCCAGCAGGCACGAGACGTCAGATTGACATTGTACCCTGACGTCATGGGGATATTTCATTTTGTTTGTTTAAAATCAGGTTGACGTCAGAACACAACATCAGGTCGACAACACTGTCCAACGTCTAACCCAGGGGTCAGCAACCCGCAACTCTAGAGCCGCATGCGGCTCTTTAGCGCTGCCCTTGTGGCTCCCTGAAGTTTTTTCAAAAATGTTCAAAAAGACGGGGAAGATTAGTATATATTTTTGTTTTAATATGATTTCTATAGGAGGACAAACATTTTTAACGTTTTCAAATGCTGTAAAAGTGTGTAGAATTAATATTTAATTTCAACATTTCTGTCAACGAAGATTTGCGTCATAGCCTGCGACACAGGTTTCCATCAGCAGGGCGGGATGCCAGGCAGGTGGCTGTTGTAAACAAACCGGGAGATAATAAAGCATGGAAAACCGTTCACAGATGGTGACTACATAAAGAAGTCATTCATCAACATACTAGAACACCTATTTGCAGACTTCAAAAACAAAACCAAGATAATTCAAAAAATTAAAGATATACCTCTCTCCGCTAAGACAGTGAAGGAAAGGGCTATTAAAATGGCAGGTAACATCACCGATCAGCAAACCAAGGACAATAATTCAGTGCCAGCATACTCAATTGCCTTTGATGTGACCGATATTCAATGCGCTTTTATGCAGGTATGTGAACTCTGATGGGCCGCAAGAAGAAATGATCAAATTAATATCACTAAAAGACCAGAGACTGTGCTGAAGTGTTTAAATGACAACGAAATAAACACCAACCACCTGATTTCAGTGGCTATTTAATCATAAAGGCTCATTATCTATTTGTAGCCAACTTAGTCATTTTTATAGTAGGCTAACATAGCTACTATAGATACATACAGCATGTGTTTCCTTCATTATAAGGCTTATATAAGGCTTTACGTTTTTTGCGGCTCCAAACATATTTGTTTTTTGTTTTTTGTTTTTTTTGGTCCAATATGGCTCTTTCAACGTTTTGGCTTGCCGACCCCTGGTCTAACCTAAAACCAACCAAATATCAACGTCTAATGATGTTACAGCTTGACGTTGTGTGGACGTTACCACTATAACATCTATCAGACTTCGGATTTTAGTTGCCATACCTGATGAGTAAATGTCAGTATTTGACGTCAATATGACGCTGGTTTAAGATGTTGGCTCAACGTTGGATTTTGGTCACTTTCTAACAAGCTAAAATCAACGTCATTTCATGTCATATTTGGGCATCACTAAATTGTTGTCCTTAGACACTGACTAGACATTAGACGCTGTCACTTTAGAATTATAAGGTTCTAGCTGACATTTTTGTCAAAATTGAGTTCTTATTATGTGAAAACTTATTTACATAAGGTGATGTTTTTTTTTTTTAAGTAATGCTTCAGTGAATGATCTGCCAGATAGAACCTTATAATTCCAAGCTGAAAATGACTTTAAAATTTGAAGCTTCTATCTGTATTTGCCCTTTTTGTTTTACTCCAATTTGCAAATGTAGGAGAATTTTTATAGTTTACATTTAGAGCACATTTAGGGTCTCTGTCATATATAATATTGATAGGTTGCTGGGTTGCTGTTACACCTTAGACGCTTTCACACATAAAGACCTTTCCGGAAAATCACCGGCAATTTTACGGAAAGGTCTGTATGTGTGAACAGGCCCTTTTTGAAAATACCGGTAAATTCGTTTCGGCTATTTTCCGGAAAGAGAAGTTATAACATTACCAATAATTTGCCGGAATGCTGTGCTGTGTGAACACAAAAGGAAGATTACCGGAAAGAGTGTAGAACGTGCTGACGTGAGGTCTCTACTTTAGCCAATCAGAACACTCAGACGGATTCACGTCCGCGCGGTTTCAAAAAGTAAAAACCTTTGAATATTTTTCCAGACACATTTAGCTGCTAGATGTTAGTCAGATAACTTTTATATGTTCCTTCTTAATGCCAACTGTGTAAATAATCAGCGATAAGATGCTTATGATAAGCCGCTGTTTGTTTACCTTCGATCTGCTTCCCTCAGTTGCTTGACGCGTCGCGTTGCTTGAAGCAGCTGGTGAGCACCAGCACACACAATTTATGTACATCTCGATATATTAAAGTGTTTCTCTATATAATTTTATCGAAGTTGTTCACAATACTCCATCCACAGAGTTTGTAATTTAATTAAATGTTTACAAATACAAGCCCAGCCGTTTACAGTTCATTTCTGGTTAATGATGTCAGAATTTACCGGTATTTTGGAATAGTTGTGTGAAGGCTCTTTTCCGGAAAAATTCGGTAACGTTCTCACCTGTGTGAACAGCCCTTTTTTGAACCTACCGTTAAAGTTGTTCCAGATATTTTCCGGATGTTTATCAGTATCACTGTGTGAAAGGGCCTCTTGTCTTTCCAGAAAATAGCCGGACCGAATTCACCGGCATTTTCAAAAAGGGCCTGTTCACACATATATACTTCTCTGGAAAATTGCCGGTAATTTTCCGGAAAGGTCTGTATGTGTGAAAGGGGCTAATGTTGCTACACAACATGATTAAACCCCCTATAAAAGTGATTTTTGCCCATTTGGTCCCCTTTAAAACACAAGCTTTGTAAATTAAATATACAGATGTCCATAAAGTATAATTATTTTGGATGTTATAGTTCTACTTATCAGAAATAAGAGTACTAAAACATTAAAAAGCCATTTTTTTTTCAGCAGTGACATCCATGTATAAATTACAACCTCGGGTCTTTCTGAATTCTGCTTATCTAGTCCTGAACTATTTCTTTTATAAATCACAGTTAATTATTATGCAGCAAACAGACACAAAACCAGCCTCTACTCGTACAAAACGTCTCCCTGTGCAGTAATTTTAGTTTGTTGTGTCCACCTTGCCGAGACTCCAGGGATGCCTTGGTGTGACATTCCAGTCTCAGCAGGCTGGGGTGAACTGATGCTCTCTTTCAGGTCCTTGTAAGGATGTTCTCAGAGCAGTGGTCAGGAGTCAAATGTCAGGAAGGTCAGCGGCTGATCTGCAGCTGAAATGACTGCAAATTATTGAGCTGTAACTTCCCTCATCTTAAGTTACAGGCGGAAACCATTTATAAGATTCATAGTAGTGTCAAAGTTCAGCAACTGCAGTGAATGGCAATAATCTAACAGTCAGTGTGAGCTGCTAGCAGATTCTGTGGTGATTTAAATGGGAACTATTGTGCAAAAAGCACTTTAATATGTGGTTTGAGCACAGTTGTGTGGCAACAGTGTGTGAATTTAGCTAGCCCACAATAGTAAAATGAATTATTTCTTTTTTTATATAATCACACTTGATACAAACAGTCTGCAGAAACACTTTGACTGACATTCTCCTTGTAAGTGTCATCAGAGGGAGAAAGCCCCACCCATAAACAGCCCTGGGTGAGAAGCAGAAGATAGATCTGAAGATATAATGTCAGCACTAAGAGGCATAATAAATGTGGAGTTTTGAGATGCACAAACGAATACTGTATAGTCTGTATGGGCCCTATTATACACCCGGCGCAATGTGGCACAAGGTGCGGCGCAATACTTGTTTGCTAGTTTCAGCTTGGCGCAAGAGTCGTTTTGAGGAGTTGCGCCACGCTCTTTAAATAGCAAATGCATTTGCGCGCATATGTGCGCCCATAGGCGTTCTGGTCTAAAAAAAAGGCGTTCTGAGGCGCTCGGGAGGCTTTTTCAGTTCATTCATAACAATTTGTTTTTGTATAATGTTATTATTATTAGCAGTATTATTTATTATATCCATATTTATATTTGTTTTATTTAAAAACAAGCTTAGATTTGCCCACCTGTCAGGTTTTAGACCATATGGGGCACAGCATGTGTTTTAGGATATAACTCAGGTTTTTGAGCACACTTTGTTATTATTGTTCATTTATTCATTTGCTGGAAATTAGAACTGAATTTAGAAAAAGTTTTGAAACAAATATTTGCGCTTAACAAACAAAATTAATTATTTATAGGCTAATTGATGTCTGTGCTTAAAGGTTTCCCTATCCAAGAGCGAAAGTGAAAGTAGATCGATTATTTCTCATTCTTGCGCGGTAGATGCTCTGTTTAACTGCTTTCTGTTTAAAAAAAACTGTTAACTGTTAGCTGTTTGCTTGTGAAATGCTCAGTTTTTCCACTTCCACTTACTTTACATCCTGTAAATACCAAATGCGCTTATGGCGCAACGCAGCTGGCTCTTAAAAGGAATGGGAGATGAGACTCTGATGGGTTTATTCTCAAAACACACCTATAACTCATTAAGATAATAAACTCAACCCTTTTAGACCATGCGCCACAGCGCAAAGCGGATTTTCCGGTCTTTAAATTAGCAAATATGGATTCTGACACGCCCTGAAAGCGTTTGCGCCCTGCGCTTTCCGTTTTGCGCATGGACCGTCAAAATAGAGCCCTATGTTTTCTCCTGAGGAACTTCTTAAAGGGATAGTCCAGAGTGTATTTTTAAGGTTTGATTGTGTTTATAAGATGCACGGCAATGTGTGCTCATGCTTTACTTATAGAAAATTTTTTTCTTTATTTCGTTATTTTTTCATATATCTTTAATTATATTCTGCTACTTAGCTAACAACTATCATATTTTCTAGTTCCAGTGTTGCCAACTGTTGCCAATGAAAAGGCATACGTGAATTAGCATATTACTGACGTAATAGAGAACCCTGAGCTCGGAGAAAATTTAGCCCAGGGCTCCTGCCAGGTCGATTGAGCATGTAAAGGGAGTACGAGATCAGGTAGTTCTCAAGAGCTCCCCGTGGTAAAGAAAGGAGGGGGGAGAAAGGGTGGATGTGGGGTTTCTTCAGAAAACGAATAAAAGGGAGTAATTTTTTTGCTAGGCTACTTATAGTGAGTTTGGATGAATCTGATTGGCTAACTAATGATTGTAGATGAGAGAGCAGCTGCAGTCAATCATATCACGTGCTCCTCTCGATATTAGTTTGTGAAACTTCACTTATAAATAAACTTCACTTATAATATTTAGTTTTTTTTTTCGACTTAGTCCCTTTATTAATCTGGGGTCGCCACAGCCGAATGAACCGCCATCTTATCCAGCATATGTTCTATGCAGCGGATGCCCTTCCTGCTGCAACCTATCTCTGGGAAACATCCATACATACTCATCCACACATATAGTACACTACGGACAACTTTAGCTTACCCAATCGACCTATACCACATGTTTTTGGACTTGTGGGGGAAACCGGAGCACCCGGAGGTAACCCACGCAAACACAAAGAGAACATGCAAACTCCATACAGAAATGACAACTGACCCAGCCGGGGCTCGAACCAGCGACCTTCTTGCTGTAAGGCAACTGTGCTACCTACTATGCCACCGTGCTGCCCTCACTTATAATATATACCGTATAATACACTTTACTATGGTTCAAACAACACTGTAGTATTTTTTTTCACGTGGGATGACAGTAAATGTATGCTATTTCATTGACAGGTCCTCCAGGTCTCTGCTGTGTGTGGTTCCTGATGTGTCTATATTGAGTGGTGAATGGAGATGGACGAGGCAGCCAATCACAGTGCCTTTATCTTTGATCCGATTGGACGGTCTGATCTACAGGAGCTGGTTCTCCTTCACGTACACCCCCGAGCACAGCGCCAGCTCCCAGACCAGCGGCTCCGGAGAGAGAAGCGCAGACTCAGACGCTCTCATAGACACCATACACCAGGAGTTCACACGCACCAACTTTCACCTGTTCATGCAGAGCTGAACACACACACTCACACACACATGCACAGACTCAAATGCACACACAGACACAAACACACACACACACACAAACCGAAACATGCAAGTATACACACATACGCACACACACGCACAGACACACACGCATACACATAAACCGTAACATATATGTATACACACATACGCACACACATGCAAAGACACAAACACAAACGCAGAAACACTCATGCACACACACACACAAACAGGTTTGTTTCTTATATTATATTGCGTATGCACAGACACACACACACACACATGCACTCACTAACACACATGCAGAAAAACACACACATACACAAGCACACACACACACACACACACAGACAGACACACACAAACACAGATACACGTGTAGGCACACAAATGCACACAGACAGGCACACACACAAACACACACATATACACACACACACACACAGAAATGCACGCACACATACATGCACCCACACACAGACACACACTCTAACGCAGACACACACAAACACACACACACACAGAAACGCACGCACACATGCATGCACCCACACACACACAGACACACACTCTAATGTAGATACACACACAAACACACGCATACACATAAATACACACACAGACACAGTTAATCGCAAACACACACAAACACAGGTACACAAACACACACATAAATACACACATGCACACAAACACAGATGCACAAAACTCACAAACATAAATACACACATGCACAAACATAGACAAACAAACAGACACACACACACACACAGATACACAAACACACTCACATGCACAAACACACAAACAGATTTTTTTTCCTATATTAGTGGCAAAGACACACATGTACACACTAACACACACACACACACACACACACACAAACATACAAATGCAGTCAGGCACAAACACAGATACACATGCACTCACACACAAACAAACATGCAGACACACACACAGACAGGCACACACACATGCAACTGAACAAACTGACACACACTGGCACAGACACACACACACACACACACACACACACACACAAACAAATGTAGACACACACAAATGCAGATACATGCACACACAAACACACATGCAGGTACACACATGCACACAGACAGGCATACATATGCAAACGCACACACAAAGACAGACAGACACACACACACATGCACAGATATACTTTTCCCTATTAGTGCGGACATTACACTGGCTTACATTGTTTTTTTTTTCAGGTCAATGATTCTGTCCCTATACCCTATACCAGGCATGTCCAAACTCGATCCTGGAGGGCTGGTGTCCTGCAAAGTTTAGTTCCAACCCCAATCAGACACACCTCGGCGAGCTAATCAAGCTCTTACTAGGCTTTCTAGAAACATCCTTGCAGGTGTGTTGAGGCAAGTTGGAGCTAAAATCTGCAGGACACCGGCCCTCCTGGACCGAGTTTGGACACCCCTGCTCTATACCCATACCCCTAAACCTTACAAACGCAAGTGCACAACACTAGATTGTAATAAGACTCTGGCTACAACGGCTCTGGCTAATTTGTACACATTTTACAATGTATAAGCACCAGTGACCAAGTCCTCACTAGTGGGTAGTTTTCATATTTCATTACATAAATGAGGAGAATTGAGACCTCACAAGTGAAGCTAAACCTGTACACACACACACACACACACACACACACCAGGGCAAATACTCATGTCAGATTACGGCCATTCCTGGCTCACATTCTAACCTGTTGTTAACACTTGCACACAGGAGGAAAAATCTCCCAGCGTGTGAGCACTTGAGTTTTAGGCAGCTTTCAAACACTACAGAAAGCTCTGACGGGGCGTTTGACACTGAGGAATGCTGGGTCAGGCTCAAACAAAGACAACTGACCTCTGTAAATCTTAGAAAAACGTCTGACCTACAGCATCACCTTTTCAAACCTTTTGTTTTCTGCTGTCTCCATATGCAGCATCCAAAGTCAACTCTGTGAACAGTGTTGCGGCATTATGCGTATTCGCTTTCAGCACATATAAAAAAAACACGTTTTTTTCCTAATGGAAATCAATACTTTTGTTATAGCAAGGATTTATTAAGTTGATCAAGCACTACTGTATAGATGTTAGATTTATATTACATCCATCCACCAAAGAATCCTGAAAATCGCTGTTTTGTTGCACAAGGTTTGAAGCAGCTCAATGGTTTTCAACATTTCCCACCTGCTCAATAAGCATGTACAGGGGGTCCAAGCTGGCCCGTGCAGAGACTTTCCAAGGGGCATGTGCAGGAGGAAACCTTTAAAGGCCGGGTGGGGGGTGGGGGGGTACAGTTGTCATCATTTTGGAATGGCACTTTCTATCTTTCGATTCAAGACTAAAAAGGGCATGGGCACTGCACAGGTTGAGCCCTATGTGTGCATGTGCATGGGTCCAACTTAAGGTAGGTCTCGAGAGCTCCTCTTAGAGAAGGGAGGAAATGGAGAAGATGGAATGGAAGGGTGGGATTCTTCCAAAATGAGAATAAGGCAGTGGAGTAAAATTGGTCTATTCATTGTATAATTGGATCAATCTGATTGAATTATTACTGATTACGGAGAAGAAACCAGCCATGCTCAATCATATCCCACGCTCCTCTCGAAATTAGTTTATGAAACTTCACTTATAATATCAGAAGATTACACTAGCTTGAAGAGAAAAAGGAAGAAGGCTTTATCCATTGATCAGATTTATGCAAATTAGTGCACAATTCGAGTATGTACTTTTCAGAAAGCTTCTAATACAGAGCAATCTTACTGTTTTGTGATGACTTAACTGTTTTGATGTTAATTATTATGATTATTAAAATATTTACCTTATTTACTTTTGATAGGTTAGCGAGTTTGGCTGTTAACCGAAAGGTTGGTGATTCGAGCCCACCCAGTAATAAAATAAGCTTTAGCGTCATGGTGTCGTAGTGGGTAGCACGATCAAATCACAGCAAGAAGGTCACTGGTTCTAGCCCTGGCTGGGTCAGTTGGTATTTTTTTGTAGAGTTTGATGTACTCGCTGTGTTCACGTGAGGTTTCCCCCACAGTCCAGTTTGGTGATTTGGGTAAGCTAAATTGTCCGACGTGTATGTGTGTGAATGCAGGAATGTATGGTTGTTTCCCAGTGATGGGTTGCAGCTAGAAGGGCATCTGCTGAGTAAAACATATAATGGATAAGTTGGCAGTTCATTGTGGTGATGCCATTTTAATAAAGGGACAAAGGCGAAAAGAAAATGAATGAATAAATGATAATAAATAATAACAATGATAGTTTCTTGAGAATCATTACACTGATGACTGGAGTAATTATGCATGTATTAAAATAGAAAATCGTGAAAGAAATATAAAAATTATTAAGTAATAAATAATTTTTAAATAATAAAGAAATACAATCTTTTGAAATATTATAAATTACTTTCCTATATACATTACAAAAAACTCATAGCTATTTTTTTATTAAATCAATAAATCATATTGATTTATGTTTAACGCTCGTCATAATCTTAAATCCTGTAAAGTTTTTAATATTGAATTTGTTTTTAAACGATTGAACATTTATATGTATTTATGTATGCATTAAATCATCTTTGCTTCAAATTACAAAAAAGTAATTACCGCTTGTGTGAGGTGTGTCTAATGCAGCGTTTATAGGCAGGATATAAAATTAGACGTTTTTCTCTCTTCTGTCTGCTGTTACCAGTCTCACACAAGTTTTCTTCCTTTTTCTGAAACTCCACCATCATGGATTGATTCATTCATTTTCTTGTCGGCTTAGTCCCTTTATTAATCTGGGGTTATCCAGCAAGTTTTTACGCAGCGGATGCCCTTCCAGCACTACCGACAATTTAGCCTATACCCAATTCACCTGTACCGCATGTCTTTGGACTGTGGGGGAAACCGGAGCACCCGGAGGAAACCCACGCGAAGGCAGGGAGAGCATGCAAACTCCACACAGAAACGCCAACTGAGCCGAGGTTCTTGCTGTGAGGCGACAGCACTACCTACTGCGCCACTGCTTCGCCACCATCATGGATTTTATTTTATTATTATTTGAGCAATTAAGATTGTAAAAAAGTATTTGTCGTATTCTCCCATTCACTGTGCTCAAAGTTTTCCCAACTATGATGACTTCCGCTACTGAGAAACCCAAAACTGTGAAAAAGGTCTATTACTAAATTACTCTGTTGTTTTTGGAAATCACATTTAATTCTTTAAACTGTGGGGAAATTTTTTTTATCTCTGATTAAACTCTTTTTTTATATTTAAAGTATTTCTTTTTATTATTATTTTTTCTTTCAAGTTCAAACTGTTTTGGTAACAGGTGAATGTGTACCTTGGCTCTAGGGGTCAAACAACAAGAAATAACAACATAGGCTCATTCTGAAAATGTAGCCCTATATACGATTCTGGAGAGCGCAAATTATGTAACCAGGGCTACGTATGACTCCATTTTATCTTTAAAACGAACGCTACGGGGCGGTATGATGCCGTTCCTTTTCACCAACTGTTTACCTCTGTATGGATGGCTTACTTACTTAAAAAATAAAATAAGCAAGTAAATAACAGGGTGAGAAAGTGGCAAAAACTAGACGAGAGTTTTTCTTTTTCTGGATTGCATTTTAAAATAGTGAGGTTGGGTTTAGAGAAGTGGGTGAGAGGGTCAATTGGTTGGTTACCCAGTCATTCGGTCAGCCGACAGCAGCCTCTGGTGGATTTGTGTGGGAACAGCAGGTGCGAATGGCACTCGCAGAGAACTTTGAGAGCTGAAAAAGCATACACAACGGCCTCTGGTGGATTTGCGATAACAAAAACATGCAAAAAAAAAAAAAAACATAGCTCCTGTTTTCAGAAATGCATATAGCAGTGCATAATCAGAATATACCTGAATAGAAAATAAGTTGATATGAGATATGAGTTTCAGAATTCAAATCAAAGCAGTAGCTAAACCAGCATACTACCATCTCATAAACATTGCAAGAATTAGATGCTTTGTTTCCAGTGAGGACTTAGGACTTAAACTTGTTCATGCTTTTAT